ATTGTTGGACTAATACAGTGTGTTTAAGCTGCCCAAGAATGGATTTCAAGACTTCAGGAATAATATATATCTATATATATATATATATATATATATATATAGATATATATATTCATATATATATGTATATATGTATATGTATGTGTGTGTTGTTGTAGTAGTACCATATTTTTATGCCTTGGCTCGTCTTGTATAACTAAGCTGCCCAAGAACAGACTTATAGGAAGTCTTTCTGCAGTCAATGTGCATCGCGAAGCATTTCATCCAATTTAATATTTAATATTGCCTACAAAGATGTTCATAAAAAAGTATCTATTGTATTTATTATTCATATTTTGTCTGTTCCTTGAATATAATTCATCATTCTGTTCAATAGCACTCTGAAATTCAGCTTCTTCTACTCCCCGCGCCACCGCCTTGAACTCAACGACGCAGAGTTGTAAAGGCGGCTCCTCAGCAAGAAGTAAATGCTTTTGAGAGGAAAAAGAAGTCCACATTTTAATTTAACAAACTAGCTAGGAAGATCAAGACAGTTGCACAGGCTCTCATCTACAACCGCTCTGCAGGAGCAGCAGCAGCAGGGTTTATAGCAACTCGCTAGAGGTCACCCCCTCTGAACATCAGACTCAGGCCATTGTACCTCGGTGCCTGGGGCATTTAAAGGATGGAGAGGAGATTATCAGCAGTATTTTTTAAAACTTTCGTCTTAAGTGTTCACTCTGCTGCAGCTCATGACGGTCCTATGTATGCATATCCACGCACCACTCCCCCGCATATATTAACACTGCAGGTAAATGCTACCCCATTCATTGGCCGTCAGCAACCAGCCCGCACTCCATCAGAAATTCAAAACACAGTTTCAGGTGGATCGGGCTTCAGATCCTGTTTCAATTGCCAAACCACAAAACCCCGAAACCCTCCACCCTGAACCGTAGAACCTAGAACTTCTGTTCAATTTTTTTTCGAGACTAGCTGGGATATATCCACCGTGTTTGTTTGCGTTTAAACAACATAATAAATTAATTAATTATTATTTTGGTTTAGCTAGGAGAAATGATGTTTCATCGCCTGTGCAAACACCAGCATCGAACCTTCGCTCAGACCGCCACCACAACCAAGCCACTGGCTCTGGAGACGTTTGCAAACACCAGGGAAGCTGCCATACACCATTGCCGCTGTTTGCGCTGTCTGCATGTGGCACTAAGCCATAACACGATCCACGGATAAAGGGCACATGAAGACCGTCACAGCGCAAAATAGCCCAGTCGTCGAGCACCGGAAGGGGGCCACAGCACCCCCAGCAATGAGCAGGAGGCAGAGGGGGGGCTTCCCGCTGTATCCCCCCGTAAAAGGCGTTTTTGGAGATGGATCTAGATTTAATTGGAACTAAAATTACTTGTTTAATTGGCTTATAACCGTTGAGTGCTATGAGAAGGCTGGCGTAACCCGAAAGCGCGGCGAAAGCAACAACCCACAGAGATGTCACCTCTTACCACCTCGACCTGCCGCGCCTGCCGACCTGCCGTGTCTCTGGTGTTGCTTGTTTTTTTGCATTTGTTTAAATTAAATGGTTTATTTCAGAGGACAAGTCATGCACAAAAATTTCTATTTGTTTTATTTTTGCTCAATATTAATTTATTTAATTTTATCTTTTGTTTGCAATTTTGGCTTTGCTGTCCCGTTTTTAGCCACTCGCCCTTCACGCGCCTGCTGCACCACGTGTAGAACTCCGAACTGCTTGCCGTCTTTTTCTCTCTCCTCAATTTGAATATCTATATTTCGCTTGTCTAGAACATTTTTTTAGAAATTTCATTGCCTTCCGTCGCAATGGCTCCCTTCTACAAGACCGCCGCAGCATTTTGCCTCGCCGGACTCTTTGGGCTCCAGTCCGTGGCGGCAACCGAAACAAAATATAAATTTGAGACATCAGAAGTGAAAGAAGGTAAGCTTATTGCCGCTGATGATTCTCATATTCCTTTTTCCTTCTTCCATCTTGTTTGCTGTCAAGCGGTCAACTCAGCTGAGTCAGACTCGGATCGCTCCATTGCACAGTGATTTTCCTGACCGCCTTTGTCCTCTGCAGAAGCCTACTTGACGGTCAGGTTGGCCCGTAATGGAAAAATTACAGCTACAACGAACGATGTAGCAAGGGATGAGGATGTTCTCGCCGCCTTGCAGGAAAAATTTGTAACCGAAAATACAGCGCAAGAGCCGACTTGCGCGGCATTGATAAACGAAAAACTTGTGAGCACATAAACTATAGAAAATGTCGGTTTGCATACTTTTGTTGCGGGTACTGCTGTAACAGCATCATCAGCATGTTTAAACTGTGGAACCGACAGGAATAAGGCATGTATTCAACCTGAACATAAGAAAGCTGTTTTGTCGTTTCGTTCATCGTTTGGGTTTGCAGAAGAAGGTCTTCCATGTCAGTTTCTCATATACAGAAACTCCAAACTACAGTACACTCGTGGAGGGTGCTCTCAAGAACGGGCTGGAAGCATTCAGGTATGGAAACGCTACACTCATCTTCGCTACGTGCAGCTTCCATCTGCTTTATGAGCAAATCAAAGCGACAGCACTCATACGTAGCATATCTCATGCCATCCTCACCGCTTTCCCCTCATCCATCATCGATCCATTACATTTCTGTTGCGTTGCACTGATTGTTTATACTTCTTTAACAGCAACACATACCCGAAAGATACATCGGCGTGGGCAACGCTATGGAAGAGCACCGGGGCTCCCAGCCTGTTGCACCTTCTCGGAGCCAGCAGCACTAAAGTCGCCTGCGTCGTCGCAAATTGCGTCAAAAAAAACGAAGATCTGTCGCAAGCCAACTCAGAACCAGAAGCGCCAACAAAGTCTGTGCTTTTCTGTG